TGTCCGGGGCGGGGGTCAGTGTTGGCACCGGCACGTGCGGCGCACCCGGGGCCGGGCATGGGGCCGGGGCCGGGCATGCGCCCGGGGCTGGCATCTGCCGCACGCCCGGGGGCGGGGCCAGCCCAGATTGCTCTGCGGGTGCACATAAAGGGCCCAGCGGACGCCATGGCACCCGCGGGCACCGGGTTGGGGACCACGGCTTTACTGTATGTCACAAGCAATATTTGATAACATACCTGTTACCAATGGAGAGTAATATAGAATCTATAAACACTATTTGTTTATGGAGAGGAAATGCTTTTATTGACTAAAATACTTTTCAACTCTTTTTTTTCTCACAGAGAGCATTTGAATACTTCAACCAAGCAGCTAATGCTGGTAACTCGCATGCCATGGCTTTTCTAGGAAAGGTAAGATATAAATATTTTCCAGAGGATGCAGATGTGGACATCTGTTTCCTTGGTGTAGGGGGGGGGCACTACTGTGTTCTCTGCTGTTTGAAAACCAGGATGATTATTTAGTTGCTTAATTAAAGACTTAAACTTCTCAATCAGGAATTCATTTTAAAACAAAATAGGCCACGAGAGTGAGGTAATGTCTTACTGGATCAACTTCTGTTTATTAAAGAGAGACACTTTTGAGCTACACAAAGCTCTTCTTCAGTGCTTTAGAGGAAAATGCAAGAAACTCCCTAAGCAGACACAGTAATGACAGAGTTCTAGCCCTGGCTTATGAATTCCTAAGACTGAAGCATATTAGGTCTATATGTATATGGTATACACTACTGCTAATGGATCAATATGCTAGCTCAACTCTTTTCAGGATGCTAATTGATTAAATAAAATAATTTCCCAAGAAGTCTCCTAATCAACATCATCTTATTGATTAATGAACCATTTATTTTTATAGATGTGTATTTGTATCTTTATGAGTCAGCTATTTAGCACTTAGTCTTCTTTTTTGAGTCCTGTCCCTGTGGGTGCTCCACCTTAGGTGTTTTGGCACCACAGCACTCCTGGCTGGAAGTTTTTTCTAGAAGATTTTTTTTGTTTTGACAGCTAGCTTGCACATGCACAGAAGCACTACACATGCTAGGCAGCTAATGTGTATGCACAAGATATGATCACCTCAGTTCCTTCTCTGCTGTCACCGGCATTGGTCGGAACCTGCAGTGCGCTCTGCAGATTTCTCCTCAAAGAGACAGCTACTCTTTTCCTTTACTTAGTTAACCTTTTCATTATATTTTTAATACATTTTTACTATCCTTTTAAAAAAAAAAAAAAAAAAGAATAGTGTCTCCCTCAGACACATAGACAGACACGGGCTCCGTACCCTGCACTTACCCTCAGAGGACTCTTCTCTCTTGCGCTGAGGAGTTTCTTTTCCCTCAACTTCAGCTCCAGTCTCCTCACATAAGGTTGAGAGAGGTTTTTTTTTCACGGATTTAAAAAATATTCTTAGTGTTTTTCACAGCATTCTCCTAAGTGGGGGCTCTGCTTTAAATGCTGTTTTATCCTCGTAGGCTGTCAATCATGGTGCCATACTAGCACTTTCAGTGCATACGTTGTCTGGACAATTACAGTGCAGTTTATTGCCCTCAGTGTAAAATTGGCAGCCGGGGCCAGGAGAGCCAAAGTGTTTTTTAGATCAACCTGATCTCCCTCGAACACTCCCTCAGACCAGCGGCGGACCCTGGTCACCCCGCATCCCCGCTATTACTATCACCAGCGGCGATGTCGGATAAGGCAGTTCCCCCTGCTTCAGCTATGAGATCTGCCTCTTCCAAACAGAAGAGAGCACATGTTTCAGCAAACGGAATCCCCTTCCCATAAGACAGGATGATCCCTGAATCCTAAGATAGCTCCACCCCCGCTGGGGTTCCGGACAAGCGCGTACCAGGGCAGCGTTCACCGACAGCATCCTGAGGGTCTGTGCTGGTAAACCCAAGCCTGTCACAGCTGAACAGCACAGGGCTACAGCAGCAGCATCAGTCCTACCAGCACGAAGCTGGTAGGACCGATGATGATTCTATTATCTCTTCAGTGCCTGCGACACCCTTGTTTGGCCCTGATTCCTCCCCCCATTCAGAGGGGTTTTCAATTTCTATGCCTGGCACTTCCATACCTCCGTTATCTGATGAGGAGGATCAGGCTTCTATCATGACCTCAACTCCTCAGACACTCTATGCTGAGGCACAAATTTCCTCACTTACAACTGACCTTACCACACTGGCAACCTGCACATTGGCTACCACCACCTATGCCAATGCCCCTCACATGGCCCTACTGGGACTCCTGGGAACCTTACAGGGCTCAGTAGCAACAGCATCTCCATGTTGCTCAGTGTTGCTCCAGGCCTACATCCACTGTGTCCCTTGACGCTTCAAGGAACCAGACTAGATCCCTGCCACCCGATATATTAGTGGTGGGTGATTGCGGTCCCTCTGAATCTGTCCCACGATCCTCTACTCTCGCCCACTTAAACAGATATCTCCTCCCTCCCCAGGGGATACACTCATGCATCCACAAGCCCTATCTAGGGATGATTTCAAAGCTTTCCAAGACCTTTTCAAGAGGGTAGCTGAGATCCTCAAGGTCTCGTTAATCACACTGCCAGAGACCCAGCATAAACTTACGAGTATCCTCCATACCTCTCCATCCATGAGTCTAGCTCTCCCCATGGACCCTGTCCTCATGGATCCAGCCAAGCAATCTCGGCAAACATCCACCACCATTCACCCAGTTGGCAAGAAAGCGGATAGAAATCGTTACGTGGCTCCTCAGGGTGATGAGTGTTTATTCTCACATCCTTCCCCTAACTCCCTAGTTCCTCTTCGAGTGGTCCCCGTGGGTGCTCCACTCATGGTGTCGGGCTCGTCCCGCACCGCAGCTCGGATGCTTTGAATAGCCGTTTCCAGCCAGGTATGTGTGTGCAGGATACAGCTCGCGCCGTTCACACTCTTTGAGCTTCGCGCGCACCCGGCTTCTCTGTCAGTTCCTCTTAACCGTCCCTGAATGCAGACAGAGCTTCTGATCTCTCTCCTCACAGTAGTTCTCCTTCCCTCAGGGAACCTGTAGTTAGTTAGTTAATTGTATATAGTTAGAGTTCTTTTGTTGTCATTTGATCTTATCTACTACAAAAAAAAGGGGGGGGGTGAAGCAAAGCCTCTGAACTCCTCATCAGAGCCCTGGCTTACAGCGGCTCCCCGCTGTTACCGGCAGTGCTTCCGCCGCCTCAAAGGGCTCTACCGGCACCGACATCTCAGCCAGCAACGTTGCACTCCCTTTACTCCCCACAACAAGCAGCTGCTGACAGGAGCGTATCCGCCGCTGTGCCTCCTGCATCAGGAAAAACCCCTCCAGTGCCGTCATCCCTTCAGGTCATATCCCTGTCCGATATATGCAAATTGGCCACCTGGTCCTCTCCTCATACATTTGCTGCTCACTATGCTCTGGACTCATACATGTCCAGAGAAACTGTGTTCGGACATGCAATCCTTACCACGGTCCTAAAGGACATTACACCGTCCAAAGCTCCCATCTCCAGCGGATAAACTGCTTGTAGTCACCTAAGGTGGAGCACCCATAGGGACACTCGGAGGAGAAGGAGGAGGTTGCTCACCCTCTGCAGTAATGGACGTTCTTCTAGATGGGTGTCCCTGTGGGTGCTCCACCACCCACCTTTCCTCCCTCTGCTTCAATATTAGGAGCACCCATAGGGACACTCGGAGGAGAAGGAGGAGGTTGCTCACCCTCTGCAGTAATGGACGTTCTTCTAGATGGGTGTCCCTGTGGGTGCTCCACCACCCACCTTTCCTCCCTCTGCTTCAATATTATTTCCATACTTTCCCGAGGCAGAGAAGGAACTGAGGTGACCATATCTCGTTCATGCGCAGTAGCCGCCTAGCACATGTAACGCTTCTGTGCATGTACAAGCTAGCTGTCAAAGCCACTGCTAGTAAAATCTTCTGGCCAGGCACACTGTGGCGCCAAAACACCTATGATGGAGCACCCACAGGGACACCCATCCTGAAGAACGTCAGTTACTGCAGAGAGTGAGTAACCCTCTTTTCTTATCTATATATACTAACATTTGCACTAAACAGTAACTTTTTTGTGTATTTCCAAAGACAGCCCATAAAAAAGATGATTTGCACGTGGAAAGTTGGTCAAGGTTCTTCACTTCTCCCATCTAAAACTAATCTATGCCCCTTTATTAATTAACTGTTAGCTGTGCTTTTGTTTCCCAGATGTATTCAGAAGGAAGTGATATTATACCTCAGAGCAATGAGACTGCTCTTCAATATTTCAAGAAAGCTGCTGATATGGTATGTTTTCTTTACTCACGAGTTAGAAATATAAAGGCCATATCTTCTCAAAGTGCTTGTTTCACAGAAGTCTCCCTTTGATTTCATATTTTGTAACTAAAATAGCTAAAAAATCATATGTAAAGTATTTTACAAACACAGACTATTTCATAGTAATAGAGATGTAGCCGTGTTAGTCTGGTATTGCTGAAACAAAAGGCAGGATTATGCAGTACTTTAAAGACTAATAAAATGGTTTATTAGGTGGTGATCTTTCGTGGGCTAGACCCACATGATCTGAGGAAGTGGGTCTGGCCCACGAAAGCT